GTGTGTGTCTGTGTGTGTCCGTGTGTGTCCGTGTGCTGTCTCTTATACACATCTAGATGTGTATAAGAGACAGGAGAGAGAGAGAGAGGAGTTTTGCTTTGACAAGTGGCCAGCTCCCACGAACACCTTAAATACCCCAACAACAGTGAACTCACCAGGAGACGACTGTTGGTCGTTGCCCATACTCGTAGTTGCATGTGTAGCCGTCTGGGACTGGGCTCATACAAGGATCAGAGCTTGGTCGTTGGGACCCTGTAACATACGGAATATCTTGAGGAGTAGCTGAAAAACAACGCAAAAACAAAATGGAAACACAGATAGAAAAGCAGGTCCCATAAGACAGCCACAAAAAAACACACGCATACTTGAAATTGGGTATTCTGGAGTGATTATTTGTGTTTTTTAGTTGTCCTGTTATGTCTTCATCTGGACAAGGTTCTGCTGAATCTACTCCATACAATGGTTTCTTGGAAGATTTGCCTGTTAATCGGCCAGATCAAATTGTAGACCCCTTGAAAAGAATGATTCAAACGCCTCTAACAGAATGATTCCAATTCAAGTATTACACGGTTTACACCTTAAACACACCCGGCATGCCGTGCATTTTGTTCTAAGCCAGGTTAATGGAATGACCCGCCAAAACACAGACTGAGAACACTGCTGATTTCTGGAATTTGCCGCTGGAATGAATGCCTTGCTGAGATTCCTGCATTCGGCTGAGTGTGTGTGTGACCCGCAAGGGTACTTGTTGGTTGAAAGGCCCCGCAGGGCTGGTACTTACCTGTGGCCGTGACTTTGAGGATTGCAGCGGGGAAAACACTCAAGTAGCGGGGGTAGGCCCGCGACACTTAAAGAGCAGCCGGAAAAACACTCAAGTAGCAGGTAGGCCGGTACCACTCAAGTAGTGGCAGAAGTGTCGGGTACTGGAGGCCGAGTAGAAGAAGACAAAGTTGGCATTTTTAGAGGCCCAGTAGCGGTAGGTTAGAGGTAGGTCGGTACCAGTCCAAGTAGCCTGAGTCTAGGGCCTGTCTGGACGATAGCAGAGCCTGCAATAATGTTTCCCTCCGAATTGCTGGGACGCCGCTCGGCCTAGGAAGTCACCGCCCAAGAGGTCAGTAGGCTGCAATATCTTCCGGAGGAGCAAGCAGCTCCTACTCATTTGTGGTATGCAAGGATTGGCGACATGCTGCTGGAGCCAAGCGCTGGACTTGGGAAGCACTGCCTGGAGGAGAGGAGCAATTGGGCGCTCAGCCTGGCTATGGCGAGCAGCCTGGCCTGAGGAGGAGGAAGAAGGGTGCGTAGGAGGAGACTGGCGAGGTACCTACCTGGCTATGGTGGACACCATCTTCATCACCTTGTTGGGCGTTGCACCTGGAAGGCCCCAGTTGGGGTTGTGCCACACCAAGGAAGCTCGAGGCAGAGTCAGGCATGGCGGCTTAGCGAGCAGCGGCATAGCTGCTTTGGGTTGTCCTTTGGACAGGAGTGCAGCGACATAGCTGCTTTGTGTTGTCCTTTGCACAGGAGGGAAAAGCCCTCAGTAGTCCTCCATAGCCAAGGCATGTGAGAGAAGGAAGAAGGGGGGGAAGTCATAGCTATGGTGGACCTATTGTTGTGTCAGCAGTAAGAGGGAACTTCGGATATTGATTCTGGTCCATCCACTCATTGACATTATTATTGGAAGAAGAATAAGATTGGCGAAGTGGAGGAGGAGGAGGAAGGTGGAGAGAGAAGGAGGGATTTGTCATTGGTCTTGCTGGTGTACACCTTCTTCTTCTTCTTCTTCTTCTTCTTCTTCTTCTTCTTCTTCTTCTTCTTCTTCTCCTCCTCCTCCTCCTCCTTTCTCTCTTCTTTGGTCTCTATCTCTTTGCAAGTCCTTTCATTTCTTTCACAGTTGGGTGGCAATCTTTCATTGTGAATTTGCACTTCGGGAATGACCAGGATCGTAGCATTAACAAAGCTGTCCAGCCTGGCCATGCAGCTACTGCTCCCCCCAGGACAGGTCCCCGTCCACAGCTCCCAAAAAATTAGGGACTGCTTACAGCTATTTTACCGAGGCCAGGCGGAGCTCAACCACTAGCTTGCTTCCAAGAGCAGTGTTTCAGCTCAATTGGAGGGCCTAAAACACAGGTGGGGCAAGGGGTTATCATGGCGTGCTGAGGGGGGGGGGAGTTAAAATGGAGTCAGACTCCATCAGAGTAACAAAGTTTTTCTCTCGTCGTTTACCTTGAATGTGGTAAGGACATTTTTGGAGGTGACCCTCAGCTCGCAGTTGTTTTTATGGCACCTCTTCACCAGAAAGCGTTTTACAGAGGGACCAAGAGTTCCAACCCACTCAAACATCCACATCGTCTGGCCACTTGCCCAGACAAATCTGTACAGACTCCAGATTGAATTTGGACAATCCAGAGCCTGCTGGATATCAGGCCTCCTAATGCAGGTTGTAGATCTACATTTTCCTCGACGTGCGATCTGTTTATTGCCAACCCCCACGACTGAGACCAGCCTAGCCCGCTATTCAGTACAGCCACATGGCCACATGTGGAATAGGCACGTTCGTGCAAACGCCCTAAGGGCCCGACTCTCATTTGCGATCGCCCATCTCTGTAATCAACAGTTAGGAAAATGAGCTTCCTATGGGGTTACGACCCTGCCCTTGGACCGCACCCACGTAACTGCGGGGACATGAAACAGCAACAAAGCAGCACTGATGACGAAAGCTAGCCAATGACAGGAATGTTTCCCTCTCTTACTGCCCTCCCAACTCCCTCCCTTCCTCTCTGCATGTTCTGCTACCCCCTCTTGATCATTCTCTGCACGCCACTCTCAACAAGTACACCATGCACTTCACTGATCCAAAGGGTGCATCTGCGAACATCTACAAGCAGAAGTACAGATGCGATTGCATTACTGCATACGAGTATATCCTCTCCCTCTCCCAAGGTGAAGCATGGCCTTGCTGTACCAATGCAAAAGAGGACAAAACCCCTTCCCCTCCCCCCCCCGTCTTCTCTCTCTCTCTCTCTCTCTCTCTCTCTCTCTCTCTCTCTCTCTCTCT